GTATGAGGTCGATTCCATAAGAACGCAATTGAAGCGCTTCAATTTCGATTGCTGGCAAATAGTTATGTATTTGCAAGCATGCATGGCTATTTGCAATTGGAGCGCATGTACTACGGGCAGGTTCGGACAACTCGTCCAACACACGTCTCCCTAAACGGCAGGGGGAGTCCCTGTCTAAGCCCCTGCCCGACGTTTTTTTCTACTTTTTCTTTCTCCATTGACCAACTTCTCACCTGCAACGTCATTATAGGTGGTCCTTACCCGCGAATTCGTTCCTGGATTGTTGCTTTAAAGGGGGGGGGGGTAAGTGTTAAAGGCAATCCGCGGGATAAAACTGGTGATTGAAGCGGCGGGATTATTAGCAGTTTTTATCCAATTCTTACATTAGTGCATATTATATGCACTCTAATGGTAAGCCGAGTAAGCGATGGAAGGGATAGTGCAGCCGCTAATAGTTGTCATAATTAAATCCTCAGTACTTATCAAAAGAGGATTTCCTCTCTACCAGAAACCTTGAGTAAAGCACAACAATAGCGGAACACGGTCAAGCATGAGAATAAAAACTCCATGAATTCTTTAACCATGAACTCTTTAAATAGCCACTCCTACCTGGAATAAAGCTCGGGCGCAGGGGTACACCTAAAGCCAACGATGTGCCTTCCATCATTATAGCCGAATGAGCTCCAACAATGTTCTTGAGACCGATCGCTTCCAGAACACCTGAAAACGTCATTGTACAGTAGCCGTCGAAAGTTTGGAAGTGTTTTATTTCTAGTCAAACACAGCCAATAAGCATCTAAGCTCTCAATTTGACACACCATATAATATATGAAAGCAAGGGTAGAAGACGATGCGCTACATAAATATTTTCCCGATATCGAAATTCATAATTTAGAAATACAATTTATTTCAAAACTTCAAACAACGTGTCGTATTCTGCTCATTGGCCGCGTTGGGCCAGAAACAAAAAAATTCCAATCTCTGATTGCTACTGTATTTCGGGAGAATGAAGTCACGGAAATCTACCCTTACAGATGGACGAAATGAAAATTTTGCCGATTCTCTCAAGGGTTCAAGTTGCCCTCTCAGTAGAGAGATGGCGATAATGAGCTGTTTGGTAAAGGCAGAAGAGTAGCCAACCGATCCCAATGAAGTCGAAAAGTTCCGTTATAGCGACGTCGAAGTTCTCGTCTTTCAATTGTTGCAGAACCACTTTATCATCCAGTACTTCTGAAAACTCATCAGTTGCTTCCAGGAGCTTCTGAACGAGGTAAAAAGTTTCCACCCACTTGGTAGAACTTCCTCTGTTGTTCTGGATAGCGACGGTATAAGCTGGAATGGACTAGTATAATATTGAGTTATAGACTAGTATAATATTGAGTTATATTCTCACGTGGTAGCATTAACCGACACCGTGACGACGAGGTTATTGTTTACCCAGATACCTACCCATTGCTTTGGGGTCTACCCCAGTTATATAGCACAGTGAGATTGGAACGTCGATCTGCTACATAAGGAGACCTGGTCTTTGTATGGGTGTAAGGATTTTTGGATAGATTTCGAAGATTTTTCCTTCCTAAATTCTGAGGCTACGGGAATCCCGAAGGTTTCTTTCCTCAACATAGACCA